TGATAAGGATGATAATAATAATAATAATAATAATAACGACAAGAGAGGAAAAATTACATAATAACCGCTGCGCACATTTTACAGCTACACCGACGTCAGGCTTTGTTTACACGCGAATTGTCAAAATAAACCTCTCCCCGTCTCTCTCCCACTCCTTGTACTCCTCAATCCTCATCCACGTTCACACACGAACGCTGTCGTGCGCGTATTTCCCTTTCCACTCCCACACGTACACATCACCGTTCTACGCTCTACCCGAGGATTCCCCACCTTTGACATTTTTGAAAAGACAAAGGCTACCCCTTCGATTTCGACGTACAACCCTCGAGACACCCCAAATGCGATGGACACTTGGCGATTATACGACACGACAGAGGGTTACAAAAACAAATGGATGGAAAAATGAAAAGAAAAATCGAGAGAACGTCGGTTTAACGGCACAAACGATACGCGTGTGTGGGCGCGTCGAGCGATCAAGTGTTTACGGACGGAGACAACAGAAACGCGCGTGTATAGTATATATACTGCACATAAAGGAGGAACGGAGGAGCATCGTAACTTAGTCACTTGCCTAAAATAAATTCCCAATGGTCGCAGCCGAGAGACCGTTCGGGCACTACCTCGAGCTCCAGCATCCTATACAGACAGGAAAGACAGGCTCCTTCTCCCTGGCTGCAGCCCCTCCGAAGCCTCTGCCGCCCTATGTATCCGCTTTGATTTTCCACCCTCTCTCTCTCTCTCTCTCTGTTTTTCTTCCTTTGTTTATTGTAGGCAGCAGAACTGTCTCAGGTAAGTGTGTGTATTATTGTATACGGAAGTCGAGCGACGCACTGCACAAGCCTCAACCAGTGTACCTACTGGCCATAACCTACCGAGCCCTCCCCCGCCCTTGACAATTATTTGTCGACAACAAAAATTGTCCGTTTACTCGACGAGCTAGCCGTCAACCAACAACTATCAACTGGCTTCATTGACGTTGCATCAGCTGAACTCGTCTTTGGTTTAATATACGCGCACTCGTCAAGTGGGTGCACAAGTGTGTATAGGTGGATAGATTGTTCGGTATGTACTGCGCGCCGAGAGAAAAATCGTCGTTTCGGAGCAGTACGGTCAGCTGCAGCGGGAGGAGAACAACAGAGACAGGGAGGCGAGCGGAGAGGGAACAACTGCGCTGTTTGTTTGTATCTCTCTCTCTCTCTCTCTCTCTCTCTTTGTCTGCCGTCACCACACTCTCCGAGAGAGCGTCCGTCCGTTGTATATGATTCTCTGCTGCGTCGTCGTCGTCTCCTCCTCCTCCACCTCTTCGAATTGCGCACTAATGTTGGCTCTCCGTTTTCCACTTTGTAAAGTCTTTATTTTTTATTCCACGATTCTTCGCATTCTCGCGCGCTTCTCCTCCGACAGGCCAACAGCCAGTGTCATGCGGTTTAAATCAGCTGCCCGACAGGAGTGGTTTGGGGGGTGAGCGAGCGGGACGGGGTGGCCAAAAACAAACGCAATAATCGACGACGAGACGGGACACACACACACACACACCACTTCAACGCCAGCAAAACGTCAATGATTACTTTTGTGGTTTTATCGCTCTTTTCGACTCGCGTTCCAAGTGTCACAAAAGGGGGAGCGCGATGTTGATTGTCGCCACTGCACGTCACTCGGGATGTGTCACTCGTCGAAGATCAGCGCTCGGTTTTGAACGCCCGCTCGAGACTCAGACCGCGGGCATCCTCCCTCGACGCGCGGTTCTCCTGGTTGCTGGACGCTCGGCAACAGCCTCCGCTGCTCGCACTTGACGCGCAAAAAAGCGACGGCGCCGCTGGTGCTGCCGAGCGCGAGCAAAACTTCTTGCTCGCTGTTGACTGCGGATGTGTGGTTGTGGTGGTGCGGGTTGAAGCGGCAACAGGAGGGGGAGAAAAAAGAGACCATCCGTCTCTCTCGCGCTCTTTCAAAAAGCTTTAGCGCGCACTCGCTTGTCGGGCCGATCGGCCGTGTATACGTGTCTCTTCGATGGGTATATGCCAGATCGGGTGAAAGAAGAAGAAGCAGAGAGTCGCTTTTGCGAGTGTTGGTGCTTGCTTGGTTTCGTACAAAAGGAAGAGGCAGAACGCGCGCGCGCTACGCGGACACCCGAGGAAGTGGCGGCCATGATTATCTCGAATATCGTGCGCGCGCGCGGGCGCCCGAAAAGCCGAATCAGTGAACAAAGCTTCGATGATCTGAGCGCTTTTTTACCTTTTAAAACAAAAACAAAACAAAAAAACTGGAGAAAACGGCCTTGAATCGGGTCGATTTTTGCGGAAGATCGGTATGTGCTCGCTTTACCGATCTTTGCACTTTACAGGTCTGATCAATCCTTTCGTTGATACGAGTAATGTTTTTACTGATTCGAGCTAATGCACGTGGAGGAAATGAAGTGAGCATCCAGAAAAAGCTCGATCGGCAGAGTTTTCGCGCTCCAATCACCTATTCCAACCGCAAGTAAAATTATAAAACGAAAAATCGGCAGAACGATCGATAATTGGCATTTTTTTTCCAATTGTGAAAAAGCTCTTTAGAAAATTATTCAGAGGAATTCAACGAAAATCAAAGCTTCCCCCCCGAAAGCTCTGTAAAACTCGCGCTTCGGCCGTTCGACTATCGATCAGCTGCTCGGTTGCGAGTCGAGCCGAAGCCCACCACATGTTGTACTTACGCAGCTGCGCACTGCTGAATCGTACACACAAAGCAGCTGTAGCTCCTCTCCATCTCTTTCGTTGGAAAGAGCGAGAGGGAAAAAAAAGGCTTTTGCGAAAGCTTGTGCGCGTTTGTACCTATACGTATGTGGGATCGGTGTGCGAGCCGCGCCTGTGCAAAACAACCAACGCCTTTTATTGCTTTCGCTTCGAACAGCTGATGCACGAGAGAGAAAGGCTGCTTCTCCGTCCTTTATTATTGCAGTTTCATACGAATATATATTAATACAGCGTTGGTGTAGTATAAACACGGACTGTCGATGCGCACGGAGGAACGAGAAAGATATACATTCGCTATAGAGGCGAATTTCGCGCGCAAGCCAGAGCAGGACGGGAGATCCTGTTGTACAGCTTAGATCAGCTGTAGCATTAGCAATGGATAAGTGTGTGTGCACGCGGGTAAGGTCTCTCTCTCTCCCTCTTCGGTCAGGGCCGTCAATGTCGTTCGGAGCGTTCTTCGGCTTTTGCTGCATAATGTACGTATACGTAGGTATACACGCGCGCGTATGCGGACGGCTTTGTCCTTACGCGCCTCCACCTCCTCCTCCTCCTGTTCTTGTGGTAGAGTGGATTTTTTTTTTTTTTTTTTTTTTCTAATGCCTTTTTTCTTTTCAGCAACGAGAGCAAAGTGGTAAAGTGCAATATGCTTGTCTGGACAAGGCCAAGGGATCGTTCAGTCGAACGTATACGGTAGAGGCAGTGATCGTACAATGCAATTAGAGACGTAGATCAGCTCCTTGCATCGGTAACTCGCGCGCGATGGGGCTTACTTGTAGACCTTTTGCGAGTTTTTTTATACGTGCTGCCACAGAGTTTTGATTGAGCAGTAATGGATTGGTACGCTAAGTAAAACTGCAGTGATGGCTAGATGGATTATTTTTATTTTTTTTTTTTTTTTCAACTTGAATGCACAAAAACCGGGCATAGAGCTTTTTTGAGTAATGAGGTAGAACAGCTGTGCGCTACATGACAAATTTTGTTTTTGTTTATTTTGGTATAAGCGAGAGTTCCACTGTGTTTTATAAAAATAAACAAACGGGCTTTGTCCGTGAGTAGGAAATGTTTTAAGTTCACCCAAAAGTTGTTTATTTAAAGAATACAACAATTGCATTGACGAACAACATTGGCTTTTGGAATTTCATCAAGAAAAATGTTACATTTATATTTTTGATATTTAAAAAGAAAGGTAAATCAAAGCTTTCGCCTCTCAAATGATCAATTTAACTGTCATGGTGTAAATAACGAGTGAAAAAATAATTATTTAATTTAATTAACAAAGTTGTAGTTAAAACGCAAATAAACATTTTAGGGGCACCAAGATAAGGTGGATCGATTGGGTTTCAAATAAAAATTTACCAAAGTGATTTGGTGTAGAAAATGAATTGTTTGTATATTTATGAACATGACCGATAAAAACACAGCTACTGATTTTGAAATACTTGTATAATGAACACTTGTACCAAATTTACATCACAAGAAATGACAGAAAAACAAGTTTGAGGTGAATATCTCTCGCGTGAGCCGGTTATATTTAAAAATAAATTATGTAAATGGCACTTATTCAACTGTTTGAGCATTAGCGAATGGAATGCCGTGGTAACGATTTATCAAAGACTATAAATAAATATACCGACTTAACTTTTGCCTCCGGCATAGTAGATTTCTGTCTTCGCTAGTCCAAGTAACTTCACGCATTACGTAGCAGATGGCATAGCTTGTGACTTTATTCAAAAAGAAAACTATAATTATTAATCAATTTTAATAAGTTGTAATTATACAAATAAACATATGGTTTCAAAACGAGTTTAAGAAATCTTATTCAGCAATTTTTGAAATATTTTCATGTAAAAACCTCTAATTTCAAGATGGTTCAGCATATCTTTTACGTAGGTATGAATACGACAATTTTAACATCTTCAAACAATATTTCATGACTTGAGAATAAGCTTTTTTATCGATTCTATTGCTCTGAGTACGTTTATTGAACATGATAACATCGACTTCAGCTTTAACAAGTGTGATATTTTGCCAGTCACGTATTTTCAAATGAATGATATATTACATCCTCAGTGGTATCAACTGCACGAGATATATGTATTAATCACACTATCTTTGTGTTTCTCGATGAGTTTTGTTATTTATAAAAAAAAAAAAAAAAAAAAAAAAAAAAAACTTTAAATATTGAGGGTCTGTAAAAATCATTTTTCGTTTGTTATTATCATTGCCATTATTATTTTAATAAATAGTCTTTGATTACCTTACTTCGATGAAATTCACAATTCATAATTTCAATTAATGTTCAAAAGAAATTGTATCAGTTAACATCTAGTTTTACATCAATGAACACAACTTTTTTACGATTAGTATACATGTTATGAATATTACAATATTGTGCTAAAAATTCTGTCAATATTCAACATCAAGAAAATTTTAACAGTATTTTATAGAACATATACTCATAAAAGACTTGTTAAAAACCAAGTGTATGATGCAAGTGAAAAAATGATTTTCAATAGAACGATGAATATGATGTATTAAATAGTCAATCACAGTATTTAATATGCACGTATTTCGATAAAAAAATCAAGAACAAAGATTTCAAGGCCTAGAGTAAACACCTATTAATAATATAACGTTTTTCATTTGAAATATCTCTTTTAATGCAACAACCTGTAGTATGATTAAACCATTCCAAAAAAAAATACGTTTAATCAAACCCGATATGATAAAATTTCTGTAGTAAGCACATAAATTTTTAAAAAGAAAAATTGAAAAACACCATTTCTTGGCACGTACGATAAAGTATTCGAAGCGTTTAGCTGACGAAATACCCCTCGGGCAAGAGTGACGTCGATAAGAGGATTGGCTGTGATATAACGATGACGTCCTCTGGGGGCCCGTCCACTCACACGTGCTGCTTCCAATAACTGTGCAGAGAAATAAAAAAAACCTCTCATCTCCCTCTCCTGCCTACTTGTTTTTCTCTCCAACTCGTTTTCTTATATTTGTACAACAACTATACAAATAGTATCTTTCGTAAGTATTGCCAGAACACACATCAATTACAGAAGATAACATAACAGACTTTTTTGGCTTTCCTTGATTGTCACGTGTGAACTTATTTTTTATGTCCATGATACGTACGTATGATCTACGAACTCGTTAGCTACTCTGGAAAAAAAAAACAAAATAGTAACATGCTGTGCTGTACTTTTATTGGCTAAGCTAATAAAAAACTAGTAGTTTCCGTAACGTTATACTAGTAATGGAAAATAATGGTTGTCAGGGAGCCAAAAATTACGATACGTCGTGGACGAACCGCAAAATTAAAGCGTGTGTATGTGACACAATGTGCTCTCAATTTCAATGATACGTAAGCACCGTTTTATTTTTGGCGGTGAATTGATTGTTTAGCAATGTTGCATCAGATTTTCTGATGATTAAATCACAAAGAATAAAAAGGTAATCAAACCAAAACGCTCGAAATACATACTGGCTGTAGGCATGAATATTCGATGGCCAACCCATGACATCGTTCTTTAATATTTTGTTGTTCAAGTGCAAAGTGTAAAAATGTTGATGATCGTAGTGCAATAATGGAATTTGAAATATTCTGTTATTTAAGACTAATAGATAGCTAGTTTATCTTATGTTTTGTCTTCATTTTTTTAGTTTTTTTTAAATTTTTTTATTCCGAGATAAAACAGTCCAGATGTTGATTAATTCGTACCGTAAGGTTGGGGCAGTATAAATATATATGACATGCTTGTATTGCTGTGGGTCTTACTATTCTAAAAAGTTAATAAAAATCTTTAAGTGAAATCTTTCCAAAAAATTTTTTTAGTAATAATAATGGTTTTGATTACTTATGGAAATATGATAATAGTTACAGAAGGTCAACCACTTTTTTGGTAAAAACTTAGACACATCGTCATCATAGTTATCTCGTAAAAAACTTTCCACAGAGTTTTCAAACGAAAAACACTTGAAAGCTGGATATTTATCGAATAAAATATCCGAGATAAATATATTTACACTACTTTTTATTCTAGTACA